TGAGGGAAACTGCTCTCCCTTCTCCCCTCGCTGCCTCTCAACTGCACCTTTTCTCTCCCACCATCTTCTCGTCTTTGGATCTGGAGATGATTATGTATACTTCTTCCTCCTCGCTGCCATTTCCAGATGCTCGCCCTTCCTTCCTTCCTTAAAAATGCCTAATTTTTAATTCCTCGTCATCATATCAGAATATTTGTCACTGTACTTTTATTAAACATATGTACAAATCTCTGGGCCCTTCCTGTCATCCCTTAAAAGTTGTTTGTTTGTTTGTTTGTTTGTTTTAGCAGATCACTGTCACTATCCACTATGATTGTCATCATTCTTTGTGATTTCAATATTTACATGTTTATCATTTTAAGAGGCTGCCAAAATGCTTTCCAGCAGTGTTGTATTCCCCATCCTCTGCATCCTTGCAAGTTCTTGGTGTGCTCAATCTTTTTTAATTTTAGCCATTCTTATAGATGTGCAGTGGTATGTCATTGTGGTTTTCAGTTGCATTTAATTAATGATTAATTTTGAGCATCTTTACTTGTGCTTATCTATCATCTGTATATCTTCTTTGGTGAAGTGTCTATTCAAATATTTTGCCTATTCATTAAAAATGGGTAGTTTGTTCTTTTAAAGTTCAAATAGAAGAGTTCTTTTAATATCCTGTAGATGAGTCCATTATCAGATATATGACTTGCAAATATTTTCTTTCAGTTTGTGGCTTGTTTTTTCATTCTCTTCATGGTGTCTTTCAAATATTAGAAGTTTTTAAGATTGATTTAGTCTATCCATTTTTTCTTTTATGGATTGTGCTTTACATGTTGTAGCTAAGAAATTTTTGCTTAACCCAAGATCACAAAGCTTCCTTCTTATGTTTTCTTCTAATAGCTTTATGCTTTATATTTAGTTTATTACTGATTTTGTGTTGTTTTGTGTTTTGTGTGTGAGTTATGTTGAAAAAAGTATCCTTTTTCCATTGAATTGCCTTTGCACCTATGTCAAAATCCATTTCTGTATGTGGGTGGTTCTATTTCTGGATTCTGTATTATGTTTATTAATCTATCTTAATACAATGCTCTCCTGATTTGTGTAGACTTACAATAAGTCTTGAAATCAGGTTGTATTAATCCTTCAAGTTTGTTCTTTTTCAAAGTTATTTAGGCTAATCTAAACCCTTTGCATTTCCATATTTTCTAATCATTTTGTCAGTTTCTACAAAATAGCCTGTTATGAATTCTATTTGGATTGTATTCAATCTAGATATCAGTTTAGGGAGAATTAATATCTTAACAATAGTTAGTTCTGATATTCACATGCTATAGCTGTACATTTATTTTGCAATTATCAGTAGGATTAGGCTCAAATCTTTCAACCTACTAAATGTTTTCTATTTGTTCCATACTGTTCTTTGTTCCCCTTTCTCTCTCTATCTTCTTTCTGATTAATTAACATTTTTAATGATTTTGATTTATCTTCTCTTGACTTCCCTCTTCCTGCACCATGGCTTGGAAACACTCCAGACAGTAATCTCAGGAAATTATAGGACAAACCTTATTTGTTTCTTATCTCATAGCTATCACTGTTCCTTGATAGCTGATATCTAGTGTCTTAAAAGCCATTGTTTCCTATATTTTGTTAATTTTTTAGTTGGTTCAGGTGAGAGGGTAAATATAGTCCCTATTATTGCATCTTGGCTGAAAGTGGAAGTCTATTCTTATCACTAAGTTTTAAATTTCAATTATAATACTTTTTTCTAGAATATTAACTAATTTTCAAACATTCCTGGTTTTTTTTTACTTAATCTTTTCTATTTCTTGATCAATTGAATGTTTCCTCCTTAAACATTTCAAACACTCTAATTTTGTATTCTATAACCAATAAATCAATTTTTTTTTTTCATGCGGGAGTTGAACTGGCAACCTTGCTGTTAAGAGCGCACGCACTATCCACTGAACCATCTGGGCATCAGCTCAGCTCCAGGTGCGAGTTCAGTCCC